CAACTTTCTGAAGTCCTTTAGACCCACAATAAACAGCAGACCGTTTATTTTCTGATTCCTTTGGTATGTCTCTTACTGTTTTTCTTCTGTCTTAGACAAAGTTTATGGACAAACTGGTTTGGGAAGGGTATTAATGTGACTTGGGTCAAGAATGCCATTCAAACCTACATGCCATAGAGCAATGTGGGGATGGTCAAAAGCAACTAACCTTGTTTCTGCCAATTGTCCTGTTAGTCCTTGATCTATTTCACTTCTTCAGAAGAGGCCTGTCTTAATAATTAACATTTTTCAAGTGCTTAGAGAATAACTAAACCTCATAAGGTCAACTAGACATCTAGATTGCCTTACAGACACTTCAATTCCTAGAGATGCAGAGAGTGCCTGAACAAGAGTTTTGTAAGTAGATCTTAATGCGAAGACACTAGCAAGGAGATCCATCTTGTATTTTTGGGATTTGTGTACCAAGAATTTCTCATGATTTTCAAGTTTTCCAGAAAGAAAGAAAGAAGGGAAAAGAAAGAAAGAAAGAGAAAGAAAGAGAAAAAAAGTTCCAGTTTTAAATCATTCTGAAAAGTCAAAACATTAAAAAAGAAGAAGAAAAAAAAAAAAGGTCAAAAACCTGGAAGGGCAAGCATAGATATGGTAGGTCAAAAATATTTTTTTGATAGTTTAGCAATATTTTGTTTCAATTTTTACCTTTGTATTTCTAAGTGAATAATGTACCTTTTTTGAAAGAAAATTCACTTTAACATCAAAACATGAATTTATGCTTCAAAATGTTATTTTTCCCCCAACTATTATTGCTTGAAAGCTAATCTTTATTTTAAAAAATACTAAGTTCAAGAAATTTAGTGTTATTGTTTGGACTTCATTGCATCATTACACTGAAGAAAAAAATCTTATCCTAAATCCCTATCACCAAAATTGCGTCAATTATCCTCTGAAAATAATCCAGCACTTTCCTTCCTTTGTTGCCTACAACTAACATGGTAGCCACATGGTCACGGACATCTTTTTATCATCACTTCAGTGCTTGAAGATGCAATTCCTACGTAGGTACTTTAAGTCATGCTAAACAACTGAGACAAAATGGACAATATGCAGTACGGAAGAGTTTCCCTCGGGCATTAAGACAAGTGAACAAATGTATGGCCCAGGTTCCAGATTCTTTTAGACGTGCCTGTGGAGTTTGGATTCCCTGGAAAGAATGGAGAGCTGTCTTGACATCCCACAGAAATTCAGCTGCATTGGTTTCAACACACGAGGTGAGTGCTGCGAGCACTCACCCATGACAGAAAGTCCACAGCTTTCCAGACATGACTGCTGTGAATGCTGTGCCCATTCTTCTCCGCAATGGACCTGCAGGGGCCAAAGCGGCCATGTCTCTAATCTTATTTTAATTCCACCTTGACCGTTGGGACTAACTGTCAGTACCAAGGCAATACAGCTATGGCAAAATGTTTCTGTCTTTTTGAGCCTGTAGTGTTAGGGGGAATGGCTTTTAGATTATTCAGAACAACAGACTGTCTCACTCCAATGCCACAGATTTCTAATTGACATCTGACAAGCTTGGTAGAATCTATCTGTTATATATTGTATATTGTAAAACAACTAAGATGCACCTGAGGCATTTAGAGCAGGCTTGAAACAAAGAGCAATTAAATGAATGAAAAGATTCCAGTAGATACCATTGATCTTTAGATGAAGTCCATTGTGAATGCCATAAGCAACCTACTATATACTGCAATTGATGAATGTACTAGCGCTTAAAAACAAAAAAAAAACAAACCAAAAATAAACAAACAAAAAAACAAGGGTATTTCTATTTCTACAGTTAAGTTCTTCCATGTAGTGCTATAGATTAAAAACAATGACTGAACATTCCCTATGAGTTCGTGGTAGGATTAAATTCCTTTGCTACTTCAGCTATGTTCCTTTGCATGGAGTTAGCATAATTAATTGAGTGTCATGAGAAAGATCAGAGAAAAGCAGCATTGGAAGATCAAAAGGACAATTAGGGCTAAAGTTAATAAATAAAACAGTTGCTTGGACACAAGAGTCATGTGGCTACTTTTTAATTACATGAGAACTACAGATGGCTTTGCAGTAATGCCACTACATAAATAATGTTAAATATATCCTTATCAGTAGGGAATGATAATTAACCATTTTAGATATAATTCCAATTTCACAGCCCAAAAAATATGCCCACAGAAAGTGCAATGATACAACAAATACCCTACATGCCTGTTGGCGTGCTTGACATTGGGTTCCTAGCCAGTGCCTCCCCACCAGCTTCAGCAGTATTTTATCTCCTGACAACAGTAGTAGCTGTTTGCCACAGTCAGGAATGAAGCCCTCATCCTGGTCAGAGCTATCCACACGCTGTCTTTATGCAGTGGGAGTTCAATAGGATCCTTCTGAGTATAGATTTGAAAATGTATGTTACTCTGGGGTGGCACTGAGCTCTCAGTAAGCACTGCTGCCTATTCTCTGTGCTGACGTGTTGCCCAAGACGAAATCCCCTGCTTTGCTGCCAAGAGGACTATCGATAACACACAGGGTGAACCATGAAGTGGTAAAAGAGTCTGCCTATATCAGAAATATTTTTTTTAAAAAAATAAAGCTATGTGAAAAGTGGTAAAAGGCTTTCCAGTGACTTTTGAAAATTGCTTTTAATGAAATAGTTGTCTAGAAAGACAATTTTAATCATTTTAATCTTTCAGCTAAGACAGTACAGCAGATTTTAAACTTTGGGTGCCACATGCAAAATGGTCTAAACAAGACTGGAACTTCACAAATAATTTCTTATCAGAACGGATAACTTTTAATCAGTTCACTTTCAAAATAATGAAATGAATATGTACATCATTCTTTTGGAACTTAGATGGAGATGGGCGAAATGAAATATTCTTTTCACTCAAATCGTGATTTCAGCATACAAACGCTAAAGAAATTTGAAATATTTCACCAATTTGATAGATTGTCTGTCAAGTATCCAGGGTGGTCACTGGTTTCTTCTTCAACTGCAAGACAACATACAATGGGGAAAAATAAGCTGTAAATAAAGGCAAAATCATTCACCCAAAGTTTTCAGGGGATAAAAAAGCCTTGGGTACAGTGTAATGTGACTATTTAGGTAGGAGGTACAGGCATCTGTGGAAATGATCACTACTTCTCTCATTTCCAGTGCTGTTTAGAAAGTTTTGCACTTGCTGAGAGGCAGATATTTCAGTAGAAGGCACAGAATTTTCATGAGAAGAAAATAACGTGTTCATTTTTCTACCTGGACATTTGCCTTAATCAAAAATATTCTAAAATCACCTGAAAGTGATCTTCCGAACATGAACAGCTTACCTATATTTGACAGTTCTGTTATGTCCTACTGCAGTAAAGGCATGTTATTCCACAGAGTATTCTTCAAACAAGTTCCCTGCTTTGCTTAGCACGCTCATATTCAGAGAACGTCAGAGGATTTTCTCCTCTTGTTAACACATGGTTATCTTTAAAACTTTTTCAAAAAATCTGTTTTATCTTTAAAACCCCTGTTTATTCCTCCCTGTCCATGATCAGAGACAAGCTTCACAACTTAGGTACATTCCTGTACTTGCATTAGCTACCACAGCTGCCCCAGCATCCAGGGGTCAGAGCATAGCACAGACTCTCCACTGCAAACATGGGGTACCCTGTCCTTCACAACTTCCCTCTCCCCAGCTGCTCCAAAAAGAGCAGAGCTTGAGCAGAAAGCAGTCCTTGTAATTGAAGATATAAACGGTAGAAAGGCACAGGAGATTAAACTGTTAGCAAACGAAATGGTGATAAATCCCTTTTGAAAGCTCAGGGTAAAACAAGATACGGACTTACCTTCTTGTGCTTTCCAGAAGGAACTAAGAAACAGGGCTGCATCTTCAGGGAGAGATAAAGGATTTGAGTTTTGACTGCGTGTTTCTAGAATCACAAAATCAGAGATACACAAAAATCACAGATAGAAAATCTGTTAGTGTTTAAAGGCATTTCTTCATATTTTGCTCTTTCCTTTTTTTTTTTTTCTTTTGTCTTTACATCTAGGGAGCCAAACAGGGTGAAAAAAATGTTGTCTGCTTCACATTGTAACAATCACTGCTGAGAACCAGCCCAATAAATGCCTAAGGAAAATATTCTTCCTACTCTACAAAGCCAGAATAGCATTTTACTTTTTCATGTGTTTCTTATTTTGCTGCAAGGCTGTGCTTCCCACAGACACTTTGCCTAAATCTGATTAATACAGTCTACACTTGTCGTTTGTCAAAAATTAATAATTTGATTTTATTTTTTCCAGAAGAGAGAGAAATTCAAAGTGATTGTTGACAACCTCACTTACAGCCAGGTCAGTGTGCAACATCACCTCTTACATCAGTGAAGTCACACTGATAAGAAACTAAATCACACACATATTCTTATCATATGCTTTTTGGAATGAAGGAATAACAATGTGGAATTTAATTGCTTCCTTGAATATAAATACAGAATTCACAGATTTCTCCCCTTATCTAAGGAAAGATGCGTTATACCTGTGCATGCCCACTTACCCAGCTGCACTCTGTCATACAGATCCTTTTGCTGGCTCTCATCTGAAATGAATCGACGTCCCTCTACAAAAACAGGAAGAAAACAATAAAAACAACTTCCAAATCTGTTGTAATTCCTACAATTAGGACAATTCCTACAATTTTTTTTTCAAAAATCAAAATTACAGTGATTTTTATGCAAACATAAAATGTGATGCATATCTCTATCCTTCTGAGGTCTATCAGCACTAGCCCATCCTGAACTCAAACACAGCAAAGCAGACTTATTCCATAGAAGTGTGGTTTCAGCATTTTTCATTCTTGCATTAACTTGCTAGAGCTGTAGATATGGTGAAATTTACTGTCTTTTGCTACCTCTTCCCCTGACTGCCGTATGGTCAAGTCCCTCCTATTTTTTTTTTATCTATAAACTAATAGCCTTCAAAGCAATATGTCCATTTAAAAATGTAAAAGAACTACATAAAAAACACATCCTGTGCATCAGTAAGTTTGATACACAAATCAGTATAAAAGAAATACAAATTCTTATTCAGTTGAAAGAATCAGACAATACAGAAAAGTATCAAATTCCTTCCTGTTAAGAACAGAAATAATTTTATTAATGTCACTAGAATTACTTCTTTTTACCCTTAGTGTTGTTCGGACCCTGGATCTATTTCATGTTGTTGTTGTTGTTATTTTTATTGTCTCCCTTTTTTTTTTCTCAGATTTGTGAGCTTTCTCTCAAGATTCTTCTCTTTTTCTTTCAACTGAAGGAAACTAAGCTTTTTGCTGTCTTAATACGTATCTCCACCTGATAGTTTTTAATTTTGAAATAACAATTTACAATGGAATTAAAAAACAGAAACTATTTTTGTTAAATTTTGCATTTTTGCCTCAGAGAACAAATCCTTTCTTCAGATCTGTTTTGTTTATTTATTTATTATTATTTAATGGTCTGTTAACTCTGAATTAGCAACAGAATCCAAGCACTGTTTAGAAGTGGTTGCTTATGGTCTGAATATCTACTATACTGTTGCTTGCAATATAAACATATGTTCTGCTTGCTTCAGAAGGTGCCTTAAAAAATTAGATGAGAATAATAAATGCTAAATATATCTGAGGTACCTTAAAACCTTTTTAAAATCATTTCAAATGAATAAACTGTTTTTCCAATAGTTTTTACTTTACACTCCAACTCTGTACATTTTAAGTCCTTTTGTTTTGCTTTTCTTCTTCTAGGAACTAGGATCAGGAATTATCTAGTGGCAGGGAACATTATCTCCTCGAAACTGAAAAACCTTGGGACTTACGTGCACCCTTTAAATACAGCATAGCTTGAGGTGTCCAGTTTCTCCTTTGGAAATGATCCTTTGTGCCGAAAAAGAAAAAAGACACACGTTAACCATGCCATTATTAACAGGTAAAAACACTTAAACACACCAACCTGTGAGATTCAGGACTGCTGCACACTGGCTGTTTACCTGAGGAGCGCTCCAGGAGGAAGAGAGGAAAGAAGCTGCAAGCAACAGGGCCATCACAGATGCTGTCAGTTTATGCAGCCCCTGCACAGGACAAAGAACCACAAGATAACAGGAAAAACATTTCAGTTCCACAGATCTTCTCAAATTCAAATCTAATGTGAAGGCAATTCCACCCCCTGAGTTCTCCCCATCTTGTTGCCAAAATTATTCTATTTCAGTGGCTACTTCAGCTTTAGTTCAAAGTCAACTGATGACAGGTTGAATGTTAAATCAGATCTAATTTATTCACTTTATTCATATTATTTTAAAGGATCCATATAGGTGAGAGTTGTCACTGAGACAAGCACCTGTGCTTTTTACAAGGATGCTAGCTCCTGCAGAAATAAGCAAGATACACAAACTTAGTGAAGGAAAAGACATAACATGTATGTTGATTTTATTAAACCACAAATGATAGAGATGAGACAATAAGAGACCTGCCATTTCAAGCAAATAACCCACAAGAGCAGGTCACTATTTCCTCAGGAAGAGAAAGTTTTTAAACTTAGCATCCCATTTGCATCAATCATGATTACAGGCACGTCACGGTAGATGACTGTTAGATTCTTGGAGTTTGTTTGCTGAAGCAGCACGAATGTTTTGGGCATGAGTCCTCTGTGGACAAATCGCCCCTCTCCTCGTTCACATCATCCTGCTATTCTTGCATTAATAACTGTGATGAGCAACAAAGAACATCTAGCCACTGTGATTCACACTGGCTTATTTCATCCTGTTTTTGAAAGCAGAGTGTCCTATTAATTGCTTTTAATTGTTAATTGCTTTTTTTAATTCAGTGGCTTTGAGCATACTGAAAATAACTGTTTACATTTATCGCAGTTTTTTTTTTTTTTAAGTTAAAATTACTAAATCCCTCTACAGGTCCTAAAACATTATACTCAAGTGAAAAAGTATGAATTTCAAACTAAAATGCTTCCCATACATCAAAAGAGTCTCACTCACCTTCATGCTCAGTTCAGCTGGAAATCTGCAGTCTTCTTACTCAGGATAGAGCTACAAGATCTCCTAGTGGTTTGGGGGTCCCTTTTTAAATCTTCAGAATGAAGGTCCCCTCCCCTTCTGTGGCAGAGCAGAGGAATCTGACCAGCTCTCTCGTCAGCCCCGTGGATGGAGAAGATCTGATGACTCCCAAGGGAAACCTGTAGTCTTGCAAGACGTCAGAGAAATGATTGAAGGGTGGACACAGTTGAATATGCACCCCATTAGCCAGGTGAATACCTTCTGAATATATCAGCATCAACTCTGAGACTTCTCCCAGTGTGACGGCAATACAACGTCACCTTCCTGCCAGATGATCGATAACTTCGGTCAGAAGCAGATATTAATATGGATGACGAGTTCTTACCTAGGATAATCAAACATGTATCAGCCTACCATCCTTTGTGGAAGCTCAAAGTTATTGTGCAGACATAACATGCCAGCATGGGAAAAAAAAGGTGACTTATCTGGTGTCACTAGGCTGAAGCTACTCCTAGCCCACATTTAGAAGATAAGGTCTCATTTGCTTCTCTGACAGTCTCTTGCCTGTAGTTTTCTTAATACAAGTGAAAATACATAGCTGAATTTAAAAATAATAATAATACTAATAATCATAAACACTTTGGCATCTCATGGATTGCTTGGAGTAAACGCCAAAATCATGGACTTCAATAGAGCAAGCGGTGGAGAGGCAGACAAAGAAGGGCAGAAAGCAGGAAACAGAGAAGACATTTTCCTAAGCTACTTCTAAGTGTTTGTTGAACTCATCACAGTTACAGATTTCGTTTTTTTGTAAATCATTCACCAGTACAGGCTGGGGACTGACCTTCTGGAGAGCAGCTCTGCAGAGAGGGACCTGGGTGTTCTGGTGGACGACAAGTTGACCATGAGGCAGCAGGGTGCCCTCGTGGCCAAGAAGGCCAATGGGATCCTGGGCCTGTTCAGCCTGGAGAAGAGAAGGCGTAGAGGGGATCTAATCAGTGCCTATAAGTACCTCAAGGGAGGCAGTGAGGAGGATGGTGCTGGCCTCTTTTCAGTGGTGGCCACCAACAGAACTAGAGATAATGACCACAAACTGAAGCACCAAAAGTTCCACAGGAACTTAAGGAAAAATGTTTTAACAGTGAGGGTGACAGAGCACTGGAACAGGCTGCCCAGAGAGGTTGTGGAGTCTCCTTCTCTGGAGAGCTTCCAAACCCACTTGGATGCCACCCTGTGCCACGTGCTCTAGGTGACCCTGTGTGTGCAGGGGGGTTGGACTAGATGATCTCTAGAGGTCCCTGCCAACCTTAAGCATTCTGTGATTCTATGATTCCCTAGCCTTGCTGGTTTTGTATCTAGTGTTTTTGCCTTTATTCCTTCACTTTCTCCTTAGTAAATTGGGAAAAGGAAGCAAAGGGGGAGGTGGTGCAAACAGGCAACTAGAAATTTAAAGCTTAAAGAATACTGATTAATAGAAAATTAACAGCAGCAACCTCACAAGGAGGACCAGCCTGCGGGGTAAATACAACTCAGCCCGTAAATGTGACAAGCATGAGGAGTGTCCAGTGCTAAGGTTTGATACAGGCTTTTTACCTGACATGATGTCTCTGTGGGGACCAGTTTGAAATACACTGCTACTGAGGATGCATTTTCTGTGCTGATGGGGAGATATTGTTTGGTTCTGTGCTAATGCCAGGTGAAATTGGTCATCCAACAGACAAAATAGGCATTAGCTCCGGCATGGATGCAAGAAATGAGACGGGAGTTTAGGTTTTGGCCTCATGCAACTCTCACTGTGCACTTCACAGATAACTCCATGTGACATGAACCTAATACTAAATCAAGTTTCCACAGTGGTCTAATATTAGGAACTTCGTAACCCTTACTCAGAAAGTGAGAAAACAAGGCAGGGACTAATAAGGAAAGTATCAAATTCTCTGTGCCTTTGTGACTTAAGGACCTAATACATTTACTTTCAGTGTGATCAGCAAGTTGCTGTGGTGTTTTAAAAATATATATATTCTAAATCACCTGCATAGAAATACATTAAGAAGTCTGTGGGGAAAACAAGGAGTGGACTCAGGGTTTGTTCATCCTACTTTAGTGATTAAAATTTAAATGACATTTCTTCTTCTATCATAGCTCATTCTTGCCATGATTCTATGAAAGGTAGTCATCTCATTCTTCCTGGAAAAGTAACCAGTTCAAGGATGTTAGATGGGACATAATTTCTTTGCAAACAGCAACAGGAGGGAACTCTTTGGGTAGGACAAGCATTCACTGCGGGTGTCTGCGTTCATAAAGATCATGTGTATATGGACATGTATAAGCCTTGAAAAATGAAGTAGCCTATAATTGCGTTATGGATCATAACACACTAATAGACTGCAACGCTTCAGGCTGATGAGGTCTACATGAAACACACATTGTCAGTCCTGCCATTTCTCAGCTTATTCACATCAGCGAGGAAGCAGCTTTGGCATGTAATCAATACGCTACGTGAGGGAAGTAGAGCAAAGCTTTCTGTAGCAGCAGGACCCCTTGTTAGAAAGAACATTACTTACGCCTGTCCTTAAAGATGATCCAAAGGGCAATGATTGCTTATCTTGACACTATGAATGATACAAGTCAGTTGCTACGACTGGGGCTCAGCGCTGAGGTGGGTGGAGGAGTTCTTGTGTGGTGGAGCTTTACGTAGCCGGGTCAAACACACATTGCTGGGTTGTGTCATGGCTATGTATATTCCCCAGTCTTTCCCCAAAATATAGGCAACAATCATTGTGCCTACTATCTCTAAATTGCTGATAACAATACCACTGACCTGCTACTTGCTCTTGAGTAAATGTTGAAGCTGCTGTGTGTAGGTGGCCAGCAGATAACATCAGCAAATATGGTATTCTCACAGTGTTAGGATATAAATCTCCTGTTACTGCAACCGCTGTCTCTTGTGCTTATTCTCATTTCCTTCAGGCTTTCATGCTAGTCTGTTAGTTCTTTGGCCGACACATCTCACTTCTGTTTGCAATATGAACAGCATCCTATACAGTGTAATTCTGACCCAGGTTAATCATAATATCTGAAAAAAAACATTGAGAACTACCATGGCTAAGTCTGGAAAAGAGGAAATTGCAAACAGGGAGTACTGAGTTTAACTTGCAGTAAGAGAATTTAAGTTTGACAGTAGAACAAGCTTTCTGAGGCTAAAACGGTGCTATATAAAGGCTGTGGATCTGATATTACTGAAGAGCTCTGGGAATAGTTCAGCCAAGCCCCTTTCAGGACTACCCAGCAAGCTGATCCTGCCCAGGGATAGAACAACTAACTAGATGACCTCTGAACATCTTTTTTCGGCTCTGTTTTTATGTCCCTATGATCTTTCAGAGGTGACTCTGGACTTAACCACAAGTCCACTCAAACTGGCAGGAACTTTGTGTCCAAGTTCACCTTTTAAAACTACATCCAACTGTTTACTGTGTGAATCTTATCTGCAATCCACTGACACGTAAGAAACCTAAAACGTCATGCAAACATGTTTTTCAGCATTATTTTTCATAATAGACCCTAATCCCTCTGGGCAGTAGTATTTTTATGATGCAGTTCTGAAGGTAAGATGTATTCTCTGATGTAAACATACATGATTAATAGCTGGCCTAAACTGAGATCTAACTTACCTAAATACTCCAATGCATATGTGTCCTCAGGCCTGATCCCAGCATGACTGCATCGTTACTACAGTTGTTTTTCTTCTTTTTCACAGACTTTGTAAGAAGAGCTGTGCTAAAAGTTACTTGAGGTGCTGGACAAGCTGTTTTAATGCCAGCTTGCTAGGTACTTGCACAAGAGAAGTGACAGAGCCTTACTTGAGGACTACACTGTAATCATTGCCTACAGTGTAATCACCTACATTCAGGTCCAGGAACTAGTGTTCCCAGAGGTGCACTGGCAGAGGAGAAGAAATCTCAAGGGCAAAAATGAATATGTGACAAAAAATATTTATCTGTTAAGTAAAAGTGAAAAATCTTTTATGAGATAAGGGATGTTTAAAAGATCAGGAAATAACAGAAATCAACAAATATTTTAAAGCTGTAAACACCATAAAGAAGGTATTACTTCTGAAACCATAGTAGACTACATCCTTTTTTTTTTTGGTAATGGAGAAGCCTGGAGGAAACACTCAAAAAAAGAGTTCAGCTGAAAAACATATCTGGAAACTATTTTTCTCCAATTTTCAAGCAAGGAAAGAGAGATGAGCAGCTAAGTACCAGTATGTTACAATGTATGCTAGCAGCAGCTGTACAGCTTTTCAGAGAAGCAGATACTACTGAACATACCTCGCAGAGCTTACCTTTCTGTAATGACAGAAACACCAAAGGCCAAGGAGCCATCTGACCTTTTCTTCGTCCCCCTGAACTTGGCAAAGAGGATTTCTGTCTTTGTCAGGAAGTTACCTAGAGGGCTACAAGCTATGCTAAACATTACGCACGCGGTCATCTCGTCTTGGCCGAGCAGTACGTTTGTCACACAGCCTCAGCCATGGAGCCAGCAGGAAGTCCATGCTGGTGCTGCACAGCAGCCGCATGCCGGCATTTCGTTGTGAGCAGCGGGTAGAACTGAGGAAGAAGGCAAGTTAAACTGAACGACTCGGGGGTAATCGGACAGTCGGGTGTCAGTGGCTGCAGCCGCCTGCTCCGTTTAGTTGGGAGACAAAGCGCCCAACATGTACGAGCAAAGTCTGTAAAATGTACAGATCCTTTGGGTGGTTGCCCTTATCCATGCATAGCCATGTGGGAGGGAGGGGATTTACATATTTCTATGTAAACACAAATTTATGTACAAAATGTGTAACGTATATAGAGGAAGATGTTTAAAGCCAAACTGGAAATCGCAGGGCATTTTTTTCAAGAAAAGTTAAGTGACTTAGGAATTCTGCTTAACACTTGTCAAACTGAAAATGTTTGTGTGCCCACGTAGCCTGTACATGAAGAATACTTTACTATTAAATAACACGCAACGTAATCCCAGTATTCAGAGAACAGGAATCCTGCTTGAATACAAGTATTTTGTGTTGCACTGCTGAAACAACAAAAGCAGCTGTTGTTTGAAGCAAAGCTGGTTCCAGAGGTAGAAGTCCTGTTCAGGAGTGGATAAATAGCTCTACCTGATGCACCAGGTTGTCAGAACTGACAAACATTTCAGGATTGACAATTATGTTTTGGAAGTGGGTTGGAAATCAGTGTTGCCAGGTCTATTAAATCTCATCCCTCTCAATCCGCAGTGAAACCCTAGGCAAAACACAACAACATAGTTCAGTGAAGATGGGCCCTCAATCATGTGTATCTAAACTGCACACCAAGCCAAAGAGGAAGATGAGAATTTCAGGCTGCCAAATCCCTCACATCATTGAATCATGGTCTTACAGCAAGATGTAAATATTTCTTGAAAGCTGAATGAAGTAACACAAAAGGCATTTTCTGATTCAGCTGTTAACACGTCACTGGGATTCCACCTGTCCTGAAAGAATAAAAAGGGAAGGACTTGATAAAAGTTTTACTTTTTAAATTATATATTACTGAGATTTTAGAGCAATTACAAGATACAAGAGATATTTTGAGGCATTACAAGAGTTTGTGCTTGTGTAGAGTAATTGTCATCTTAACTGCACTCTCAGAAATTCAGGAGATCTCCACAAAATGTGAGTGGCATTTGTCAGTTGAAAGAGGAGTCCAAATATGTCAATTGGACAATCAGAAATGTAAGTATCAAGAGTCTAGTTGTAGACCCTAGGAGCAAAGCACTTCTTTCTGTACCCCTTTTCATACTCCACCTATCTTAGCTTAGATTTCAAAATCTTTAGCACGGGGATCATTTGCCCCCATGACCGCATTGAGGGGAGCATGCATGCCTACCCCCCTAGCTGCACAACAGCACAATTAACAGGGGTGACCTACACAAACCTCCTCAATAGAAGTCCCCTGTTTCTGTCACGATGTGAAAAAATATGGACTTAACATGTGACGTTTTCTCTCCGCATCAGGAAGTCTGAAGTCATTCCATACATATAACTCTCAAATATATGAGAAAAGAGAGGAGAAGAGATCTTCGGTTTCATGTTTTGATTTTGATTTGCTACTTCTGTATTATTATCAGCTTTATGCCTGGAAGAAAGAATGTCTAGTAAGAAACATCTACCAGCCAGTCAAACGAGAACCAATCAAGTCAGTGCCATGATCTGTGTTGATGCTGGATGATGGGAAGAAATTTCTACCCATAATAATCTGCATCAGACTGAGTTTCTGAGTTCTCTGCTCCAGCTGCTGCCAGAAGAAAATTAGAAGAGATCTGCTCCTGCCTGAAAGCTTAAAGCAGTTGGGGAAAAGAAAGAAAGGAGAACTAGCAATAGAAAGGAGAAACATCCCAAGTACCTGAGATCATACACAGCAGTGAGCTATTTCACTAATTTGCTCACTAATTTGAAAATAAGGGTAGGATAACAGTAGGACTTTAGGATGCACTGAAATTCCAGTAAAAATATTTAGCAGCTATAAGAAAAAAAGCATAAAAAGAAGTAGAAGAGCTCAAGAGACTGACACCTGATTTGCACTTTACTGCACCTTGTAGGCTGAGTGGCAGGCAGGCACAGGTGTACCTCATAAAGCTGATTTTCCAGCAAATAAGCCCTAATTTGAGGCTAAGCTAATTTGAGGCCTGAAGCTGCTTCAGCTAGGATCTCAAAGGAACAGATAAAACAGCTTTAGCTGTCCTACCCTCTCTCTACAAAAGAGAAACAGAAGGTGTTTTTTTCTGCGTGCTGCTTGGTTATTGTAAGTATAAGTTCTTAAAGCACTTTTTAAATGGGGATGCTGCAGGTAATATTTAGAAAGACTGTAGTTGAAAGCATTAGTTTTGTGTAAAGCATGCTTGCTCATATATGTTGGAAGATCTTATGTACTTAAAGAACAAGCTTAATTCTAGCTTCAATGTTTTTCATTTTTCCAAAGATGTTCTGAATCTCTAATGTAGGAAGCAGCTTCTGCTTCCTGGTATTTGCTTTCTGGGGTAAATCTTTCAAATGGGACGTGGCAAGAAAAGTGCTTAAAGACTGTTTGGATATAAAACATAAAAATCCACAGATATCTCCTCTGAGCTTCTGGCCTGCAAAAACCTTGTTATGAGGCCAGTTTAAGTATAAAACATTGAGTATTTTTTATCTGCTGGCAATCTGGCTTCATAAATACCTATGCATGGTTTTCCTCTTTGTGTTACAAGATTATGCAAGCGAGTGACTTGTGTATAAATGCTACCAAAGCTTGCTATTATTGCTGTTTTTAGAAAAAGAAAAATATATCTAAAGGCTAAACAGGGTGTTAACTTCTGAGTGTGGGGGAGGCTCGTTCACTTTGCTGCCTGATGTGCAATGTCTTGGTTAAAGAAGACACAGTTCAGTGAAGCCTGTATCCTTCTAGGAGCACGCTGGTCTTTGTGCTGTGCAGGGGGAATCCCGGCTGGGTTGTGGGTGCCAGTATTTTGCCCTTGAAGGCAACCACGTCACTACCCCTATTGCAAGCACCACTGTGTGAACTCTGTTATTTATTTTTTTTCACTCTTTTTTTTTTATTCCAAACAGAAGGCTAGGCTTTGATACCGCTGCTCTGATAGTTATGCTGTGTTTAGGTAATTCTTATCTTAAAGGTAGTGGTGACTGTTACTGTCACTAATGTGGGATAGACAGCTAATATAGACTGTGCTTCTGGCTGTTTCCCTGTTCCATAGCTTAGTAAAACTTCAATGAGTTGAAAGCGATGCATTGGTGAAAGGTAGGTACTGAACCTGAAATATGACTTCAAACCTGTGCTGTGAGCAAAGTCCACAGTGGAAAAGCATGAGATGAAAGCGCATGACTATTCAGTTCAGGGTGAAAAATGTTGCAATATGCAGATTAATGATGGGTATCTGTGTGAGGGCAATTTTATCCTTGCAAAATCTATCTCCTGTAACTTAGGTGCACACTATATTTGAAACATCTGTTTTAAACCTCACCCTGAGAATAGGAACTGAAGCACCTTGTAGGGTGCATTTGTTGGGGAAACTCCAAATGTGATAATGTATGCAGTGACAGCTGCAGCTGTGCTAATCAGTAAAAGGAGAAACAGCTGCTTTTGTAGGTTCACTGCCATGCTGAAACTCCTGTTGTGGCTGCTCCTCTCCCAGTATCCACAAAGAACAGCCCAGAGTGACATCCCAGTATTCTTTAAAAACAAACTGCATTTAAACCTTAGCTTCTGAAGCCTATCAGAGGGTGATATCAAGAAAGCAGTGGTGCTTAAACTGACTTGTGTAAATGGCCCATGGAATGAGTTTGGAAATCAGTAATGTCTAGTGCTATAGAAAGTAGCTTGGGTAAATATCTTGGCAAATGTGGTTATTGGACATAAAGTTATAGAAGTAGGTAAGGAAGTACACGGTATAAATGTGACTGAAAGTAATAACTAATTCAAATATATAAAAATCTAATATGAGGTAAGATGAGCTGGGTAATGCTGCTTAGCATTTCCCTTAATCTAAGATGGTCAACTGATGCAGTTCTTAATTCTTTTTATTTTTAAATACAGAGACATGTAGGTGTGTGTGGGGAAAAGTGGCAGGATTTTGGAAAGCCTGTGAGGTGTTTTTTTTTTTTTTTTTTTTTTTTTTTTTTTTTCTTCCCCCCTTTTTTCCACAGTCTGATATCCAGTTCTCTGTAGAACTAGAAGTGAAGGTTTTCTGTGTTGGTCAGGATGTGGACCAAAGATTATCAAGTAACTTGACACTGGAGTTCCAAATTGCCTACTGAACAGACAAATGGTGTAAAGAACACACTTACGCTAGTCTCTCTCAATCTTATGTCTTGTCTCTTTTCCTGTCAGACACTTTGCAGGAGGAGGAAGCTGATAATGTCTTCAGAGCACGGAGCTAGCAAACGGCATCATAACCCAGTGGAAAGTATTTGCAGAAAGATCAAATCCATCCAAATGATGGACCAGGTCACTAATCCTGCATTGCAGATACCAAAATTTCAGTCTCGAAACTTTGACAGTCCACAGTATAATATCAAAAAAAATCTTGAAGAAATCCTGAAGAAAAGAACATGTAGAAGCCATAATAATACTACTCTGCTTCTCAGAAGTGCCAGTAGTGACAGTACCTTCTCGCCAGACTTGCAGGAGCTGTCGCCATGTTTCAGGCATATCTCTGACTGCTCTTCTGCTAATGCCACCTACTCACTCACTGGTAGTGGAGAGAAGACTGGTAAACCATGGACACCAATATACCATGCTGAGAAGAGTACTCCATCCTTCCTCAGAACTAGAGAGGCTAATGCCCAGAATGAGTTGTGTGTTTTATCAAGCACTGGATCTAAAGATGTGCCTCATGACCAGAAGTACCTTACATCAAGTCCAAATGTATATTTTTTGACATCTGATCAAAAGTCAGAAGGTGCCGTAGTACGGTCTTCTGTGTCAAAGAGACTATCTTTGACTGAAAGAGGTAAAATCTTGGAAATAAAAAATTCTAAGTCAAGTAAAACTAGACATCAGAACACCCAGTCTACATGGCAGAATTTCTTTACTGCTTTAAGAGCATTAGTTTTTGGAATCACACCAATCTAATGAGACTACAGAAAGAGCTGTGTAGAACCATAATCTCCTCTGAAAGTTATTTAGGTCTGAAACTTTTTCAAAAAGTGAGGAAGTAAACGCTTAAGTCAACATTTTCAAATTTCCCAATTCCCTTATTGGGAGTTTATTTTGTTTCTTTGTTTTATTAATTTGCTTTTACCTTTAATGTAGAAGGTGTGCGTGGTGGTGGTGTTTTGTTTCTCTGTCTTGTTCCTGGTATTTTAGTGATTGATTTTTAGATTCCCTTTTTTTTTTTTTTTTTTTTTTTTTTTTTATAAAAGAAAGCAAAAACTGATAACTCTTTACTAGCATATATTGGGGGGAAGGGATAGCTGGCTTCCTAAAATTCTGTTTATATGTTTACTTTATGCAGAAGAATATACATCTATGTATAGAAGTAGATGTATAAACTAGTTTCCAGATTCTGAGGCTCCAGCTATGGACAAATATCCTGGCAATATTTATTAGAAATCTGTTGTATTCTTAATTTTCTGTGTATCATTCAAGCTGTGATGCTCCTATGCTTACCATGCTCACCTGGGCTAATGGGTAAACAATGCCATAGTTAGAGATAGTGATATGTGAAGCTTGCACTGAATTAATAGACAAACTTATCCTCTGTAGGATGGAAATGGTCTGTGGGCTCCAAAGTTGATGACATGTATCATATAAGCATGATCTGTGAAGAAGACTTCCTGACTACTACCTTCTGTGCATGTGATGTAGAGCATACAGGTTTGCTGGTGGCTTTTTGTTCTTCTCTTTCCTGTTGGTACATTTTCAAGGCTCAGATTGCATTATGGTTTGTAAAGTGACAACCTGTGATACCCTTAGACTGAGTAGCTACCTTAGCTGAGCAATTAAATATGGGACAGATACTGGGTAAAGCTCTGTACTTCTGCACACTGCCTCTCTTCTATATCCCATCTAACCCTCCCACAAACTGGCCTTTGCTCTACTCTACAGAATTATCACGCTTCTTCCTATCCACCTGGTTAGAAATTATTTCTTTTAGGCATTTTCCAGTTAGAAAAATGAACTTTTGGAAACTTCAGAACAAGGGATTACTCTGAGTTCCCCATCTAATATGACTAAATCTGCAGGTGGCTTTTTTGTATGCATGTGTTATTGATTGTTTGGGTTTCTTCTGGGGGTGGGAGGGTGCCTAACAGCATGAAATAGAAATTATCAGTCAAAGGGTTTGCCCTCATGTTATGAGAGGCCTGAAAGTAGTAGCACAGCAAAGGAGGCTTTTTTAATGATGTTAGTATGAAAGTCTAGCACATTTGTTTTCTTTCTTTTTTTTTAAAAAAAAAAAAAAAAAAACACCTCTAAACTACCCGAGATCACAAAAGCACTTCAGTGATCACTTCCTTGTCTATTGGGCAATGCATTTGCCATAGTATAGATCAGTTGCATGCCTTTTCATAGAATTTCCCACCCACTTTGATGTCCTGCTGGACTTCAAAATCTGGTGCTTGGACACCTCTGTCTATCCTAGGAAAAGTAGCTGTTTCCAAGCTTGTTGATCTTCTGAGACATACGACTAGTCGGGGATCAGAGGACAGTGGCCTTGAAGAGCTGTGCAACATGCTTGACCCGGATCAAAGAGATGTCTCTGTGGACCTAGAAACATATCATGCTATCATGAAGGAGTGGATTGAAGACCGTAAAAGAAAATGGTAACAGCTTTTTCCTCAATCTACCTCATAAAAGCTTCTATCAAAGCAAGAGAGTAGAAACCATTCCTGTGACTCTTATTTTCAGTGTCTTAGAACAAAGATGGCATCAAATCATTCTGATCACAGTGTATTTCTTGGCTGTAAATTCTTAAATATAATAAGTATGTAATCCAATAGCAGACTAGTTCATGTTTTCTTGCCTTAGGGAAGAAGATTGCACAGAGGAACCAGCAGCAAACACAGATGATCTGGAATCTAAAGTACATACAAGCATCTCTGAAGGTGCAGAACACTGTTTTGGATGTATTGAGGGGAAATCTGCACTTTCTTAAGCTTTAACCAGAAATATCTCTTACAGCAAAAAAGATGTCTGTTCGATTGAATGTTACTTCAGGCAGCTTAGAGGCCTTTGGGGGTGATGCATCCAAAGGAGACTTGTAAGTTCATTTAAGTAATGCATTTGCAGAAGTTAGTACTTCAGCTTTCATTACTCAAGAGCAATTACCAGAATCATTATTTTGGAAAACTCTTGGCAGGGTTTCTAATGCTGACCTCAATGTGCCACCTCTTGATTCTATCAAGTTCTTCCTCACAGCTTCTGCTCAGCAGTAAAAACATGTTAATAACTTAGTTTATTGATATCTTGGTCATTCTATGTTGATTGGCCTACTTAATTCTCTGTAGTCAAAGTTTTGCTGTCGGTTTCTATTCCTCTTTAAATATTCTTCTTGCCCCTATTCCACTAGATTCTTGGGTATCTGATCATGGAAAACATTGCCTCCTGAATTTCTGGTCCTTAATTTTGCTTGGGCATTTCTCTTTACAATTATGACTATGATTTGGATTCAGTAACAGCAAAGCCCTTAATAAAGACACCAGAATTTTCAAAGATAATGTTCACATTTTATACATTTGCATTTTTGAAAGTGTAGGTAGGGAGTGGAAAGGGGTCCAGGGAAGAGAAAGGACGCAGGACTTCTGGGTTTTATTAATTAGGATTAATAAATTCTAGAGTAATTTGTTGTCTTGATGTTGGCCTAGGAGAAGATTAATAAAGGCTTAAGATATTGTCTTGCTGTCATCTAGCCTTGGCACTTGTCCAGTGATATTACAATCCATCTGTGAGCTATCTGCTTGCCACTCTAGTCAGTGTTGCAGGACACCAAGGCTTTCACAAAAGTCTAGATAGAACCAGTAACCTTCATCTTTTCTGGTTTTGTGACTGAAACAGAGAGACTTCTGACTTGATAACCTGCGTCGCAGACCTGCAGTACAACAACCGGAGGCTTCAGGAAGAGAACAGCAAATTGAAGCTGACACTGGAAGCTGTGGATGAGGCCAACAATAAATTAGTGGCAGATAACGAGGATCTACGTCAACAAATAAAAAGGTGGGAGACCTTAGCACACCAGGTCTGTGTAAGGCTATGACCAGGCTTGTCTTTCATGAAGCAGGCTAGTCTTGTTTGTTTCTAGGCTCACCAGTACTTCACGGCAGCAAGTTTCATGAGCTATTGCAGTGTCTGCAAGGCTTAGGCCTGTGGCCAGTCCTAGGTCAAATGCTCGCTGCTAAGCAGTGGGAAAATATGTGTACAAGAGCTGTTTAGCTAGTCCCTTAAGGAAGTGGGGTGAGTTGTCTCAGTGTATGGCTGCAGCCTGGGGATCCTTTAAAGTCATGAGTACGTGACTATTTTTAGTGAGTTCTTAGATCTTATCCAAACGATCGGAGTTATGTCAACTGCCAAACCATTCCTAGTCTCCCTGGGGGAGATTAAGGCAGGAGTCTTTCTGCTTGGCTAATGTGGGATATGTGTGTATGTGACAGACCCTGTGGTCTGGGCTGCTCCACTGTCTAGAGCTATTGGTGGAAAAAAAAAAAAAACTTCCCACATTTTGAAAAATGCATAGGCTGATGTAACAGATGAGGGTAGTGATAAAATGATGCAGAGTTTATCTCTGAAAACTGAACTCTCCATAACTATTAGCAATGAGATATAATAAAGATATGTTTGTATGCTTGGGCAACCAGACAGGCAGATTTATCTGTTACAAGCTTGCTTGTTGGGTAGGTACAGACAAGGAAAGGCTTGATAGGTACTATCTTTGTTCATCCCTTATTTAGAGAGTGGAAGGGCACTTCCCTCACACAAGGAACTTGAGCAAAGATAAAATAAGAAGATGGCAGGTGAGTAAGCCCTTTGTTCCAAGCTAAAGCAATGGGCTTAAACTTGATTGTTGCTCTTATGTTAAGTATCTGTGCCAAAGAAGAGTCCCTGGGGGCTTCTGTTCTTGTATTTCAAGCTGATCTATGACTAACTTGCTTAGTTTTCCCCTGGATTTCCTTCCTTCCCCCAGTATCCAGCACTCGGTGATGAAAGCCAAATTGCTGGAGGAAGAATTAGAAGAAGCAAAAAACAGCCTGAACTTCTCAGAAGAGAAGAGGCAGCAGATTCTGTGCCAGAATAAACAACTAGTAGGTGATCTTGCTTCTCATTGTATGTTGTACAACTTCTTGGCTGTAACAATGGTATGACTAATCTGCCCATAAAAATCATCAGTACCCAGCAGAACTGAGGCTTTCTGAGGGAGTTTATAATTAGTTCAAAAATATAACTGTGTAATGTGATGCAACTTTTTTCCATCAGTTACAGCATAGAAAACAATTTTCAGTGGACTGGTCCTTTTAATTATCTTGCATATAATTACACTAAAGACAACAGTTTTCACACTGCTGCCATCAAGCCTCATCTAATTTGGAGGTTGATATATCCTGCTAGGAATTTTGAGTGCTGCACATGGCTTTTGCAAAGAGGACAGGAGGCTCAGTTCAGAGAAAGGAATTTATTTCAAAACGTCCTAGGCCACTGAAGAAATTTGCAACCTGCTGGAAAGCTGTCCATCTGACCTGACAGCTGGAGGCCAGGCAGCTTTAGAGTGTCTGAGAGGGTGTAAGCTGCCTACATGGAAGTATCTGAATTGCCACCTAGATGCCTGGGGTGGTTATTGCTACCTTTTTCCTGTCTGATACAAGTAGTGTAGTGTGTATAGGCTTTCCAGATCTGCCTTGACTCAGCTATGAATGTAACTAGCCATGTATATTCTAGCCCCTGATCCTCTAGTGGTCTGGATTTTACTCAAATATGAAGTGTTGGGACCAAACCTTGAATTTAGCAAGGGCCATATCATTATGGGTCCATGAACTGTGACAGCTGCAGCACTCCTCTTTCTGCAGTCCCCTCTGACAGTGTAAAAATGCATTTCTGCAGCTTTCCACTGGGCCTGAATGTGCTTGTGCTCCATTGCTTTTAGTAGTAGTCTGACTTTGAATGTTAAACTCAATAGGCTAAAAAGAAAATGTTGAAAGTGTTACTTGTGCAGATGTTTTAAGAATTGCTATTTTTAAACATGACTTTTCTTTATCAAAAGGAAAAAGAAAATCAGTCTCTCATCATCAAAATGACTTCTCTTCAAGAAGAGGTAAAATAAAGCACAGCTTTACAAATGCATGGCCTTGTCTAGCTAAAAGCGCACGATTAAGAAACAAAATGTTTGTTCAGCATTGAAGCCTGAGGTGCCAAATTAACAAAATATTTTTTTGTTTCATGAGAATGATTTGTCTAAGACTCTATATTTTGACATTGCACTGTGCTTCAGACTTTCCATTTGGTGGGCAAGGACTGAGGAATGAGAGGGACAGAAATAAAACAGCTTTCCCTTGCACCACTTTCAAATCTTGATAGACAAACTCTAAGTATTTCTAGTTAACACAGCTCTAACTCTGCTTCTGTACAGAGTATAATCTTCATCTAACACTTTTTTCTTTTCAGTTGAGGCTCATTTCCATTGCCCTTCTCTAAGATCCAAATGAGGAGTTCTGTATGAAACTGTAGCTTCAACAAAATGCAGTAGCTGGGGACTTCTCCAAGCCTCCTGTAGATCCTTGCCCAGTGTTAAAGGATCAACCTGAATGGAGGAAATACTGCTCATAGATGTAGTGTATATTGGTTCCAAGAATTTGTTATTGCATAGCAAAGTAGTCCCTGTGTATTGCATGTTTACCATATTCAAGGTTCTAAAAACAGTTCTGCTGCTGCAGGTCTAAAAGCTCTTATTTAGTTTTCCAGGTCTGGTAACTTTTGAAACTATGGGTTTTTGAGGGAGATTTTTCTTTTAATTTGATCAGGGAACTGAAGAAATGAAAACTGAGGGAGAAGCTATTTAAATGGGAAAAGTTCTGTTCACCTGCATGGAAAACAAATTTCTCAGAAATCTATTGGAGGTGCTGGTGTTACTGAGTTTAATCCCACTCTTAAATTTCTATCTTTCAACCAAAAGCTTGCTTCCAATGGAGACAAGCCTGAATTTTGCTTGTGTCATCCTACAAGTTTCTTTTTTGATGCTAATTTCAAGATGTTGCTTTGATATGAAAAATGCAAATTATAGATGAATTTAAATTGCAATGCAGTTCTTGCCCCAAGTGTTTGTGGGACAGCCCTGGGGCTGTGGTAGTCCTGACCTTTGCAGCATCAGACCTTGACTTTGAAAAGTATAAAAACATCAGAGGAAGAAGTACAAGAAAGCTTTGTATACGCATAAGTGTTGGCACTGCCTTAGAGTAGGCAGTAGTTTGGGGGTGAAGTTGTCATTATGCCTAGATGCTTGGAAGCGAAATTGTCGATACATTTTATTGTGCCTAAACACTCTGCATCTTTTCAGAATATTAGGAATAGCCTGGACACTGATGGACTTCAGAAGAAGATTTTGGAGTTGTCTAAAACTGCAGCAGAGCTTCAAGTAAGTGTTTTAACTTTAGGAGGTACAAAAGACTGCCTATAATCTACCAGAGGAGAAATCGCCCCTCTGTAAGGTGGTAGATAACACTAAACTAGCAGAGAGCAAGAGTGCGCTGTACCTTAGCCATCATGATAGCTTTGACTAGAAAATATCTGGGTGCAAGATTTTTTTCTTTAAAACATGTATGTAACATATCTAGAAAAGTTGACCTTGTAAAACAGGGATCACGATGCCCTTTTTTCCTTCCAATATGAGAGGAATAGACTTCTCTCATAGTACATGCAGATAACTGGAAAACTTTTTAATCTCTTCATACTTCAGATCCAAGCACATGACTATGAGACTATTGTGGTGAATAAAGAGGCAAGCCTGATCCAGGTTAGTTGTTTTTATTTTTTGTCTTGCTTGAAACTCCTGAATACAAGACACTGCTAAAAATCCAGTACAGCTCTCCTGTGGTACTGTTCTTTCTGATGTTCTTACACGACAGAACCTGATCCTATAAATGGCTTCAAAGTAGGCGAGATCTACTTTAAGAGCTGGGTATGAGTCAGCGTAATAAAGAGCTTCAGGATTTGGCTTTAAAAAAATAAGATGTGTTTAAACAAATCAAACCTGCAAAACTCAGGAAAATGCACAGAAACTTCCATAAATGGGTGGGTAGAAGAATGTTCTTGCAGAAGACCTTTCCCCTTGTGTCCTTTAGTTCTGTTGCTTGCTTGTCTGACTAGATGTGGTGATCCAGAATCCCACAGAAACACAAGTCTAAGCTTTTTCAATACTGAGGTGTAATTCCCTAGGCTTTGCTTAGGTAAGTTTCTGATGTTGTTTTTCAATTGTAGGCCTTGAAAACAAGAAGACATAAGATCCTGTAGGGACTTTGGCGTTCTCTAGCGTGTAACTCCAGTAGAGAGTTATATACTATAGTATATGCATGCAAGAGCCTTCTTTGCTAATTAAATTTGTTTAGCAGAATATGCTAAACTCAGCTGGTAAAGTATTTGACTGCTAATATCTCTACAAAAATGTTTGCAATTTGGGTTTGATAGTGATAAGAGAACCAAACTTCAGTGTAATACAACTGATGTAAATATGGTACCTGACAATTTTTAGGTTTTGATAGAAGCAACTTCAGGATACAAAGGAAATTGAATTGCAATTTCTCATCCTTGAATGTTTAAAGATTTCTGTGGCCCATGTAGTATGTTTCCCCTTTAAGAAAGGCTCATCAAGCCTATTGACTAGGTGGGAGGTTTGAGTGCAGTCTGAGACTGCATGCACTTATAGATAAAGGCAACTTGTCTGCATAATTTTGAAGTGGTATGGAAAACTGATTTTTTTGCTTGTTGGCATTAGGAACAAGAGTTTAACAACTTCCATAGATCTTGAGTCGAAGACAACTTGGATAAGACCAAAGGTCCAGGGAAAAGGATTGCCATGTTCTCAGCCCCAAACTACAGAAGATGAAAAACCATTTTTTAATTTTTATTTCCCCTCATTTTTGTTTTGCTAATGTTCAGCAACACAGGTTGTCTCCACCAAGAAAAACCTTGGAAAGTTGCTTTGTAACTTTGCTTCCTCCTTGTATGTTTGCCTAATTTCTCATGTTTACTTCACCTTTTTGGAAAAACTTTAAGAATCTTTAAAGAGGAAGAAGCTGTAAAAGGAAGTAGAGTAAGAGCTCCTACTGCAGTCTCATATTTCATTTAAGGAATGCTCTGATGGTTTGTGCAGTGTTTTCTACCATAATGGCTTAACATGACTGCTCCTTTGCTACTATTTCAAGTTCCTCAGTCTTACTGTGAGGTGTGAAATTGCTCTGTCAGTCTTTCCATTAGATGATGCTTCATCTGTGGAGTACTACCTTCTGCACCTTTGGTCAGGAAACCTTATGAAAGCAAAACTGCTCAGGAACACAGTGCAAATTGTTTAGGGGGTCATTTAGGATTGTAGCTCATGCCAGGCAACCTATAGTCCAGGCTTTCCACCAAAACTCAAGTGCTTCTGTAGTTTAATCTGCAACTGCTGGTACAGGAATTAGGAGAGTAAAAGATATGTCTTGACACCTACAAAGAAGCTGTCTTTTTCCTTAGTTCCTGGTGCTGCATAAGAAAGTCTGAGTGTTTTCTTTTAGCTAATAGTGAGACAATTGACTCTATATTGCTTTAAATTTGTAACTATTTTTATCTTATGCAATCAGATTGTTTTTTCCCTCTCATTTCTGCATCCTTTTCTCCTTCCCAAAACAAAGCTGCCAAAGCACCAGAAAATGGATTGCTCAAATCTCAAATGTATAAGTTAATGTTGTGGTGTAGGATTGACTATAGTAACAGAGAATCTTAGTCACATACTAGCTCATTCAAGTCACTAAGTTATTTGTGCATTAAGGTTTTTCCTCTTCTGCAATTTTTGCAGAAGGAGCAGAACATCAAAGAACTGAAGTCAACAATTGTGGAATGTTCCTCAATAATAGAGGTATGGGACTGAATTTGGCTTCTCTCTCTATGGGAAAGAAGAGTGTGCATCTTCTACTTATTCTGTATGACAAAATGATTTTCTGACTTGATGTGTGTTCTAGACTTTGCGAGCTGAAAAAAATAAACTACTAGAGAATCTGCAACACATGCAGCAGGAACTGATCTCGTGAGTATTGTGAGCAAGTCCCAGAAGATATAGCTCACTGGACAACAAAAAGAACTGGTGTGTTTTTCTTTATATGTTTTTCTTCTGTTTGTTTCAGAAATGGTCTGAGCTTCCCATTGATGTACAAGCTTAACAGCAGTATAGTTGAAGGAACAAACTCACTGCACTGTGAGCTGGAACTTGCACAGGCTTCTGAGGTATGAAGCAAATCTTAAAGATTCTTATCTGGCTTATCTTGCAACAGTAAATGAGGAACAAAGCTCCTTCTCTGAAGATTGTTGGGTTGACTCTAGGAACTAGGATCATTAAAATGTGAAGATACTATGTTGTGCATGTCAGATACTTTAAGATAGTTTATGGGCTTTTCATTGGACTATATGACCTACAAAATATAACTGAGATCTGGGATCATTTAGCTGGCAGAAGAACAGAGTGACGGGGGAGATAAGAATCTTCAAGTACACAGAAGGCCATTACTGAAGAAAGTAGTGGTCTGCTTTTCCTTGTGCTCCTTGCAGTGGACACACTCAATGATTATGAATTGCAGGAGGGGAAGTTGCTTTTTCCCTGAAGCCTAATCTAGTGAAAAGGACAATTAAGCACTGAAATGCTCTGCAGCCTTCTGAAGAAGGTTCTCTCATCTAATTGCTTCTTTAACTCACAGGTGTCTCTATAGGCAACATTTCCTCAGCATGAGTAGTAGAGACTGATCTCCAAGTCATGTCCTGTGTGGTTTGTTTTTGTTTTTTAATAGATTTATATTTTCCTTTTGGCTCCAGGTAGTTGCTTGAAAGAGGCATGAGAAGCATTCCTCTGAGCACAGGCTGCCAAAATCCTAGAGCTGCACTGAGCCTGTTTGTTTTGATGCTGTAGTCCCTTACAGGGGACACCTGCCAGGGGGGTTGGTTACTCTTGGGGCCTATGCTTTTGGAGGGCTGGTTTACCGTTCTCCCAACTTTCCAGGATATTTGGATAGGGAGCTATTCATAAGCTACTTATTTTTGTAGGTTGGCTGTTTGTTTGTTTTGTGTAGGGCTCCTCTTTCAAGGCTGCTTCCATAAAGACACTCCCTCAGGTCCTGTTCTTCTTAATAGTATTGTCTTGAGACAAAAATTGTTCAGCAGAGCTGATGACAAAGGAAACCAATTGCAGTGTCTTTTCTTGTAAGATCCAAGCTGGCATGCTGCTACTTGCTTTAGCATTTGCTGTGCTTACACTGTATTTGCAAAGAAGATGTAGCACTTGGGGGAGGTGAAAAATCTACCAAAGGACTAAAAATACAGGCCTAGAAATAAGAATTGACTGGTCAGATAGCTTTGCTTCAGAAGCAATATGTATTCTTTTACTGCAATTTGCACAGCAGCCTGTTATATGATCTCTACTTATTTCTCACTTGGTAAATACCACTTAACTGATGATAGACTACCACTTGCTTATTTTGGGCATGAAAACATGTGTCAGGTCATTCAGCAGTTTCTTTTAAATCCTCATGACATGATGCTTTTGAGAAGCCTTTGCAAGCTTCAAGTTTGCAGTAGCTCTGACCTTCTGGTAAATACAATGCAGGGATACTTCAAAAAAGTCTAAATGTCACTGATGCTTCTTTGTAGTAAAGAGATGTCAAAATAAGCTAGCTGACTCTCTTCTCTCTTCAAAGCTTACCAAGACTGAATGGTCATCTCTGGATGAAACACTGGACCGTGAAGTGTTGTTCTTGCTTCAAGGACCCGAATATGCTGGGGAAAAATTTAAGACTATTATGCAAGAACTGGTCAGTGGCATAGCATATTATGTTCTTTTTTATCAGGCTTTTAATTAGGTCTTCTCCAAGAAGTCTAAAAAGATCAGCCTCTCTTTCGAAACATTGAATAGCTTATTTCTTTGAAGGGATGTGCATGCTCTACCAAAGTCACTTGGCACCTACTTAGTGGTAACAATTAAAGCTTGTAAAACTTTGGACAACTTTACATCAGATTAGTACTTGAAATGCTGTTATTTCTTTAACTTTTTTGTTTTTAAGCTTCTTCTTGCTGAAGAACCAGAGAACCTTGTCATGACTACTTTACAATGGGTGGAAGATCTTGATGTTCCCATCAAGCAGGTTTGGGAGAGAAAGCTTGTAGTAAGTAATTCTAATTCTGATGCCACCGTCTTGAATAGTGGGCCTGTGCAAAAATTTTAGACGGGTGCCTTACTGTTGTGTGCTACTTACACTACTTGAGGTCCTAGCGATCTTGTCAGGGTCAAGTAAGACTATAAGGAGAGAATAAGTGTCTTCTAGTGTAAATTCTTGCTGGGGAAGAGGAGAAATGATAGCTTTGAACTCAAATGCTGTGTTTTTTCCTGACTAATCTGTGCAAAATTTCACTTTGCTTCAAATTATGCCCCAAGGAAAGGGTAACTGAAGCAAGTGGTAGACAGCAGCACTACATATTTTGGGAGTTACAAAGCTTTTTTTTTTTTTTTTTTTTCTGCATTGGAATAAAAGCTGTGCAGTTAGGTGCCAATGTACAGTGCTATTATGTAGCTTCATCAAAACTATAGTCCAGGTTTCCCTTTTTCATGTTTTTCCTTGTGATGTACTTGAATTTATGACTAAGTAGTAGATATTTTCACCACCAAGAAGGGGAAGGCTACTTTGTAACTGAATTTCCAAATTAAAGCCATCAGAGTTTGGTTTCTTCTCCTTCTGTTGGCCAATCCTCATAAAAAGCTTCTACAAATACATATTTTACAACTTTAATCTTGCATAGTGCTTTTAATGTTCCTCATACTTCTTGTGGGGCTTGAGAATTAAAACTTGTGGTCAAAGCAACTGTGTGGTGAGAATAACTTCTGCATGTGGGAGCCACAGCAGCCTGTGGACAGGACTCTACTCTCTTGCTCTTGTCCCTCCCCTCCCACGTAGCAGCACTTTCTCAAATGTTTTTCTTACTGTTTATAATTTCTCTCTAACTTGTTCCTTCCTACTAATCTATGGAAAACATTACACTGTAAGTTAACACCGTCTTTGGATGCCTTACTAGACTCAGACCCAAATTCATTCTATTTGAGTAACAGCAAAAGACACCATAATGAACACACTGCTGTAAGATGTCTGCTTTTAAGCACAGTGTTCAACTTTTGGTATGGGTGTTAAAGTTCATAATGGCAATTAAATCCTGTTCTGACCCACAGACAGTAATGCAATAAACTGAGCTAATCAAGGATAATAAGGATGATCAAGATAATTTAAAAATAGAAGGTCACTTGCTACTGTAACCCTTCAGAGTGGGATGTGATTTTAAAGTACTGTCTTCACCTAGCTAGAACAAGATATGTATGTGCAAAATACTGTATGTATTGATGAACAACAGTAGCTTTTAAAAACATATATGTATAGTAGTGAGGGTAATGACTTTCTTGCCTTTTTTCCTGCTGGAAGACTTGAGTTTGCCACAACACACATGGGCCCTAAGCCTGTGACACTTTTATTTAAAAAGCATGCCATTTCTAATGGCAAGGGTCGCCTGTCCTAACGGAGAAAGGGATCTTTAGGATGTGGGTATTTGCACATGCTCACGCTGCATGACATTGCAGTAAATGGATCAAAAGAGATGGTTCAGCCTCCTTTTGTAATGTATTCCTTAATGTGCCACCCTTCTCTGTGGCATATGGATATAAAACAGCATCAGGATGGAACCTGAAAACAGGCAAGGAAATCTGTATTTGCTGGAAAGAGGCTTTCCCCTTTGAACTAGTGAAACATTCTGGAAATTTGAACCTTTTCCCTCACTGACCTTTGTTTCACTCTTGCTAAGTGATTATTAAAAGTTGAGCTCTACAAACTGTGTGCCCATGTGAACAAGGTGCCTCTTTCTCAGTACCGCATACTGCAAGTCATTGTTAAGTAACACAAAGTAACACTGCATCCTCTGTTTCTAAAGACTTCATTTTTATCTACTCCTTTTTGCTACTCTCTCCCTGCAAAAACAGGGGTAAAACTGAAAGTCTGTGGCCCTGGGATCACCCTTGGGTGCATTTCATCTGCTAGATGTGCAGGAGAATGGCTGAAGCTTGGGTTTCTCATCTTCCCTACCACCTCCTCAGTCATTCCATACTTAAATTGACACCAATGGGCTTGCAGGAGTGCTTTGAGGAAAAGGATCATAGTAGCTTAAAGTGACCATTTTGGGGCTTCATGAAAGTTGGGCATTGTTAGAACTTTCACCTTATGAAATATGTATTTTTGTTATGTCTGGGCAACTGGTAATGGAGGCTTTCCAGGGCAGACTGTAAAGAATCTCATGTGTCGTGTCTTTACCTGTCTGTTAGTGCATATTTGCCAAAACGTTATTTAACTGTATATATGCTTCACAAGGGACAAACAGGAAAGATGACTGTGTTCCCTAGCTTTTCCTGGAAAGAAAGACTAGGAGTGTCCTCTAACTCGGAAATGACTTTTTCAAAAAAGTGTCAAATGGGAGTAGCATAAATGGGTTTAAGTTTTGAGTGTGGAAACTGTTGAGTATTGCTCCATTGAACTTTAAAGTCCAGTGCTTGGCGGGAGCCTAACCTATCTCCTCCTGCATCCAGCTGGGGCAAGGAGTCAGAAGGGTAACAAGTTTTCAGGTTGTTTCATTAACCTGTAGCCTGAACCAAACGCTACTCCAAATGATTCAAAACCCAACTTCTCCTTTGTAAGATCTCTCTGATCAAGCAGCTTCCTTATCTCCCTGCTATTTTTCCTGCCCTTCCCCCAGCCAAAGGCTGCATAAATGTAGTTATGAAATCCTTTGAGCCCCCCACCTTTGGCGCAGTGTCGCGCTGTGGGCAGTGTTGGATAGGGGTGGCTGTGCTGTGGATGGTGGTGCTAGGAAGTTCTCATCGTGTGACTGGTGCTGGCCTGCCCTGTGGCTCTACTCCTCCTCTAACTATGTTGCAATTCAATTTCCAACCCTCACAGATTCTCAAGCAAGAGCTAAAAGAAAAGAGAGAGCTTTGGGTCCAGAAACTTCATCTCTTAGAAAAATACAAGGAATCCGTAGATAACGATTTTATTAGAATGGCAGGCAACCTGAGGCGAAGCAAGACAGAGCAACTTCACCTAAGGAAAGAGCTCTCTGCCAGGTACCTCTTCAAAGCTCTTTGCTTTTTAATGACCTGAGGAACAAAGATCACTGACTTCTGAAGGGTTTGTTTCACAAGGGAGAACTATCTGCTGTCCTGGGGCCCAGGTCTCCTTTTAGTGTCACTTTGCATTATATGGGAGTTAAGGTTGGTGTACGGAGTAATGTTGATCTTGGAGATGTCTCTTAAAAACACCAGGGAGACCACAGACTGAGCAGGGTATTTTTTTTTTTTTTTTTTTTAACTAACAGGTGCAACTCTTTAAATTGCTGGTTGCATATGAGCCTAGAGATTTGTAAAACAGACTTGCAAAGATCCTTGTTTTTGGTGACATTTGCTAGCTCAAGTCAGTATGCTGTCTTAATTTTAGTGGTGTGACCTCAACCTGTCATTAAATATGAAAATACAGTGTTAAACTTCAATTTATTACTATGCGGTTCCTGTTCTGCATTTTTGACGTTAATAATGTGTCTGCTTGGTTTTGGTGCCATAATCTTCAGTCCCTTGTCTCCCTTCCCTATATCCTCAGATGCTCAGGAAAGGAGCCAGGCAAACTGTTTCTGCCAGAACAATTAATCTTAATTTGCTGTCAAGCCAAGCTTATTCAGTCATTCTTCTACCATCCTTAGCCAAATATGAATACCTGCACGTATGCCTTTTACCTGGGGTGGCAACATGAGCAGCTTCCCAGGGTTTGGCATCCCTGGGAGTAGATGCTGAGGTTTGGTGCACGAAGCTCTCGCCCTCTGGCTAATCCCTGAGCTCCCACTATGGTACCCAGCACAGCCCTTGCCCTGCTTAACCAGGGAGAAGCCAAGGGAAACATCCATCCCTTCCTCCTCAAAGAGCTTTCCCTGCCTGCTGGGCTGAACTAGGCTTAGCAAGGAAAGGGCGCCTGGCGCTGGGTCCTGGGGTGCTGCGCGGCGGCGGGACACGGCGCTCCGTGTGCGCCTTCTCCTCGGACACGGCGCTCCGTGCGCCTTCTCCTTGGCTCGGCCGCCTTGGGGCGTCAGTAACGGTTGTGGTTTGTGCTCTCGCACCCCGCAGGCAGCGTGAGGTAGAAGCTGTCAAACAGCTGCAGGAAGAAGCTGCTGGCCAGGCAGAAGCCTTGGGTTTAGATCTAGAAAAAGCTACAAGGCAGCTTGAGGATGCCAACAGAGAGGTAAGGGACCGTCCAGCTCTTTTTCTGCAAAAGAAAAGTGTGTGGGAGGGGAAAGGCAGGGCGAGCAGCAGATGCAAAAAGCTACATGCAATGCATTGCTGCTCTTAGGAAAGGAAATCGCATGTTCAGTATGGAGCGCCTCGTTGCAAAAGTGGAACCAGCAGAGGAAGTAAAATTTGAGGGGGTGGTGACAACAGTTTGCTGATGAAAGAGGCAGCATTGCATATTTGTGGTGGCTTTAAAAAAAAAAAAAAAAGAAAGAAAAAAAGCCAAAAATAGCTTCCATACACAGTCCACCCCACTGTGAAAATGCAGAAGTTCAGAAGGAGCTTTATCACTTCCTAAGAGAGAACAGATGCACTTTGGTTTCACTTGCAAGAACTATAGAGGCTTCTTGTGCTAGCCAGGCTGCTAGCTCTTTCTTTTCTTTCTTGGTTCTTAAATATTGTTTTGTGCTTAGGCAAAGGAGCAAGTTGAGGCATTACATTCTGCTTGCAAAGAAGCTGCCTCCCTGAAATTCAGGTTAAAGGAAGCCATTTCTGAGCAGCAAAAACTCCAGAATATGAATGCAGCTTTAAGGAGCACTTGCCACTTGCTTCAGGAGAAGATGGAAGAGCAGAAAAGTGAGTAACTGCTGGCACATGCCAGCACGTTTTTTACTTTGGAATGGGCAGATTTTTTGTGGCTTAACCATGGAAGGGGGGGACAAGGACTGACCCTTAGGGCTTCCTGTGGTAAAATGCTCCATGGGAAGCTCTCTTCCCATTAAGAGGAGGCATCTGGACTCTGAGTCAGAGGGATCCTGCTGAGTGGGTGTTGGGCTGCACCAGACTGCAGAGCCTCCTGACACCATCCCCAATAGCAAGAGGAGAAGGAATGACTCTAGGTGGCACTTCCTCCCTGGAGATACTGTTCCCACACCTGAATATCCCACCTTGCTGCTGCCTGTTTCCCTTCTTCCTTAGGCTTCCTGCCTTCTGCTCGCTGTTCAGGTTTGCCACGTATTCCCAAATAACTGTGGTGTATCAGGCTGTTCTCCCCAGTAGATGCCATTTGTGTCACTGTACTCCGTGCATGTGCAAAATTTGCACAATTTTTGCACTGAAACTTCATACTACTTGCCCATTCCTTAACATTGATGTCTCAAAAGCTCGGACAAGTAAGAAAGTACCTGTCTGGTTCCAGCACAGGTGGCTTTTTCTCTCCAAAGTCGGGAAGCATCTGGCACTTAATGCGCCTGCTCATGGTGCTCTCCTGTTTCCTGCTTCCTCCAAACTCTGAGTTTGTTGGCCAGCAGCAGGTCTCCCTCCAGCTCTGAAAACACAGCTTTTTCTGCAAAGCAAGTTACCTCAAAGCAGAAGGGAGAAAGATGCTGTAGTGGCTTTAAGCAACACAAACCCTCTCCCAAATCCTGAGTGAGATTCTGGTTTTAAATGAGTTTAGAGGTTTTGCAGGGTTCTCTTTCTGTATTGAGATAGCAAGAAACCTGTAGAGCTGTGGAGATAATTTTGAGATACAAGGATGAGAGTAGCATGGAGGACCTTTCTCCCCTTCATCATTAATCTTTAAAAACTGAGAAATTAGGGAACCTGTTGGCCAAGGAAGGTGCTGCCCAACCAAAGGCAGCCTGGCACGGCTGTTTCTACGTCTCGGATGTCTCATCCTGACTTGCTGCCAAGTGCTGCAATCTTCATCCACTGAAAGCTGAATAAGCCCTTGGGAGTTGGGTTTTGCACTGAAATGATAGTGTTAATCTTCTCTTCACAGCTCTTTTTCGGGAGTGTGTGAAGAGTTAGGGAGTAAATGCTGCAGTAAGACTTGTATCAAGCTAGAAGCCTCAGCAGGCAGGCCCTCGTGCTACCCAACTTTAACAGAGAATGCTTCTAGGTTTTAAGCATAAAGTAAAAGCCACTTATCTTAAATCTTCCTAAGAGGATGTGAAGTTGGAGAGGAAAAATACTTTTCTCCACCAGAAAACTGTAATGGAATCCTCCATTTCCATAAGGAACTGTTGCACCTTGATATAGCCCTGATATAGGGAAACATCCTCTCCATTATAGCAAAATAAGAGGAACATAACCACACAGAGGGAAAAGTAATCGGTGTTTCCTAAATGGTGCAACTTGCCAAATAAAATGCACTTTTCTATTTCTTGTAAAAACTCCTGTAGGTAACTAGCCCAATGCAGAGTGCGATTGGTCTGTGGTAGGCAGTAGTAAGGCTTAAAGATGCTGTTGTGCCTGTGTGCTTGTTGCCAAGTTTTAAGGAGCCCGTTGAGATTTGTGCGTGTCTCTTCATAGTGACTCTTAATGAGCTGAGGAGGGAAGTGCTTAAAGGGCGACTCTCTGGATTGCACTGCCAGGTATGAGGCTTGTCTGGTGGGGGAAGAGCAGCCGTGCACAGGAGGGCTCTGGGGGAAGGACACGTGTCGCGGGGCCGAGCTGCAAGCAGTTCGGGAGCACTTGGTTCCTTTTCTAGCGTGTAACTGGAGGCCAAACAAACTATTCTGACAGATACATAACTGTTCTCCCTCTTCTGGGGGGAAAAAAGAAATGAACTGGAGCTACGTAACTGGAGGCCAAACAAACTATTCTATGACAGATACATAACTGTTCCCCCTCTTCTGGGGGGGAAAAAAGAAATGAACTGGAGCTTAACTGGGAGATGGGGAAGCTTTCTCTGATGCATTGGTTTGACTCGTCTCCTATGGGCAGCCTTCAGTTCTGCAGGGTCTTGAAAATCAGTGCAACGCTTTGTTTTACTCCCTATTCCAATGCCTCAATGTCACAAATACATTACTATACTTACCTTTGTACTCCTCTGTGGAGATAGTTTGAAAACTATAAACCCCAAAGATTTTGCTTTCAATAATCAAAAAAAAAAAAAAAACCTTTCCCTTTTGGGGAAAAGGGGAGGGGGAAGATATTGTGGGAAGAACCCTTTTTAGTCTCTGCCATCTCTAGTAAGGAATACTACTAGCTCAGAAACTGAACGGTCTGGATTTAACAGAATAGCAAGGTAATTAAATCCAAATACAAGATCCTACGTTGTATCCTACATTGCTACAGGGCATCAGAGGAGCTGAATCAAAACTGTGCATCAGATTCATGTGATTAAAACTTGTACTTTTGCAGGAAAGTCTGCAGAGCTAAGGGCTAAAATTAGCCGAGGGAAACAACTGGCACAATTCTCTTGGTAGCTTGGAAAGATAAAATTCTACTTTGTACATAATCAGTAGTACAATGCTCTTTTTTCTTTTTTCTTTCTTTTTTGGCTTTTTTCATTTATGACTGCCTTCCTTAACCTGTTTCTCTATTGTAACAGAGCACTGTAGATGAAGAACCTGATTATAGCCTGCTGCCCACATCAACTGAGCCTGCAAAAGGGAAGGTAAGTGGGGGTTTGCTCTGCCCACTGCTGAATCTGCTGAAATGGGGCATTCTTGTTTATGCTTGTTAGGGAGCAGAGGAGAGTGTCAGGGTCATGACCTGAAGTAAATAAATGACTTTCTTTGCCAGAAATTCTGCCAAGCTAAACACCCAACAAATCTGAGATGTCTGCACTGAGATGTACACAGAGGTATATTCAAAGCTTTAGTTTCTTACTGCTTCTGAACAGTCACTGTGACAAAATGCAGGAGCAGCTCTAGAAATCCCCTTTTGGGAGGGATCAGAGGCAGAAGATAGAGCTCCATGTTCCCCCATCTCTTCCATTTTTCATCATTCACACTGCATATGGTCAAATGCAGCTGAGTAGGTGTTGCCTCAGGAGCTCCTCTCAGCCACAGTCAGATGAAACTCTTCACTGCTAAACAGCAAATAACTTATGTGCCTTTTGGGATGGGAAAAGCCATCCCAAAAAGTGTCTAGGCATGTGTCAGTCACTGAGCAAGTGTTCTCCATCCCTGCCCCACTGCTGGTTTGGCCTTCCTGCAAGCAGAAGAGAAGATACATCCCTGCTCTGCCTGTCCAACCTATTTCCCCCTTTCTTATCTATCTGGAACCAGCATGTCATGTTGAAATTTGGATTATTCTACCTCTTCCTGTATCTTTTCCGTCCATTATGGATCTGAGCTTTTCTAGGCAAAATACAGCAGATGATCTGTTTGTGTAACTGTCAATATTATGTTATGCAGATGTAACTGCTGGGGGTGCAATTTTATTGGGGTCTGTGTATTAATGTATTGAAAATGACAGAAAAATATTATTGCTCTCTGCTTCTTTTTAGCAGCTCTACCACTCTGAAAAACAGTGGATTGAGGGACTCAGCTTGTGCACTGAGCATTTCGGAACGCTGCCTTTGGATATTTCATGCTGGTCTCTTACACCCCTGTTAGGTAAGACTTGCTGGTAATGACTTTTTTGTCTCTCTCTTTTAAAATAATATAGTAGTGTTGATAGATGATCTAGAACAGCCCTACCTGCACTAAATGAAGAGTATTGAAGTAAACTGTACGGGAAATTGTTCTTCACAAGGTGCCCTTCACCGAAAGAGCCTCTCACCAAGCCTCAGTGAGAGTCCAGACTGGGGGGATGGGAACTATTTTGGCTTTATTTTTGCATGTGATGAATGAGGCTCACTTGTGCTTCTAAGACTCTTAAAGGCCTAAAGATGTTTTTCTGTGAGCCCCTCTGAAGTCGCCAAAAGCTTTTGAGCTGTTGGTATGAATCATACTTTCCAGTGAGTTCCTGACAAGACTTGCCAGCCTGAGCTAACAGGCCCTGGGCTACGTTATTCCCATCAGCCTGTAAGTTGTTACATAGCGAGATATCAGCCCTCAGAAAGGCTGTTTCAGTGCACAAGCTTGGAGGGTAGTTTCCACTTGCTGCCATGTCCCCCTTCGGTCACAGTTAAGGCCAGGTGTCTATGGTTTGAACCAATAAAGTGCTGCTACCAAAAAATGTCCTCAAACTATCCCACCGTCATCTGCCACATAAAACAATGACACTTCTGCCACATACAGAAGTTTCCATAACCTGATGATATCTCCAGATGTTGAAGACTGACAATATCTCTTCACCTAGCTCTTTCTTACCAAGATAGAGCTGCCTTATTATAAAACAGTATTATGGTGGTTTGTCTCTTGATTATCTTAGACTTGTGGGCAAAAACTCCTATAAAATGCTACATCTGAGTTTATGTATTGCCACTGTTCTTCATGCCTGTATCTCTTAACAGATGCTCTAGCCTTGGAAAGCTCATGCCCTCGTAACTCCCCTGTGCCGGTCTGGCATCCCCACTGCAAGTGGAGCTCTGTCTGCTGCATGTCTGAGACCTTCAGTCTGGATGTGACACCAGCCGAGGGGAGGTAAGATCCCAAAATAACCGCATCCCAAAATAACCTCTTGGGGATGAAGGAGAAAAGAGTTCATGTGACGTAGCTTGTTCCAGGTGCACAGGGAGAGTTCAATGCTGGGATATTGATTTTAGGAAATACTGGACTCTGATCAGCTAGTGGTATTTCTGGGCAATGTTTTTCCTTAAGGAATCTGTATCTCACAAGGTTAGTCCTGGAACCTTTTTCTAATGCAGTCACCTCCCAGATTTGGTGAGGGTGTTTCTATTTCTTGCTGGAGAGCTCAGACATAAGGCAGGTATTCTTGTGGCTGTTTTTGGTATTTAGCTCAACGCTTTTATATTGCGAACCAAAATCCTATTGGCTTTGAGGGGTCAAAGGTGTGGGCCTGGGTGCCACCCTGTGCCGCATGCTCCAAGTGTCCCTGCTTGAGCAGGGGGTTGGACCAGATGAGCTCTGAAGGTTCCTTCCCATCTCAACCATTCTGTGATTACTTATCTGTTACAGAGCTTATGATGGGAATGCTGAAATTCTGCTTATTGGGCTGCTTCCTTAAACTTTTCAAATAGAGATAGAAGTGTTTGAGGTTGTGAGAGGTCTCTAATAATTGTAGATGAATACTTGGAGAACAATAAGGATGTTGCTCAGAAGAGGAGCTCAAGGCAGGCAGTGTGCAGTAAAAGTCTTGGCAGCTCTTGAAGTTTTGTCATGGAATCTTCTGTAGGATTGGGCAGCCTGGAGGAGGTTGTGAGAAGGATTGGGTTTTTTGTTTTAATTTTTGTTTTAACTATTTAGTGGAGGAGGAACTGTAAACTTCTATTTCTCTGGGAGACCAGCTGTCTGACTATATAAATAATAGTGAATTCAGTTGTCATGTGCTTAAGGGAGGTGGGGGGGAAGGCAATATATTTCATTGTTGTTTAGGCAATATGCAAATAAAGTGTGTATTGCCAGGTGGAAAATACGCTCTGCTGGTAACTGTGCTGATGCAGATCTTCCTGTTTCCATTACAACGAAGGACTACTCGCTGGCTGAGGTGAGTGCTGTCTCTAACACCCCAGATGTGGTTTTGGATGGGTTCAAGTGCTTGTTAGTGCTTTGCAAAGAACCAGGTGCTGAGCAGCTACCAACTGGCACCACTCCGAAGCGGAGGAGCAGGTGTCAGTCGGCACGGAGCTGCAATCCCTTGTTTCATGGGGCACCCCCTTTTGGGCACATCCAGGAATACTGCAGTTGGAGCCAAGTGTCCTGATGCTCGTGCCCATCAGGATCATGCTTCCAGCTAGGAGCTGGTGCTAAGGAATATTTTAAACGTGCCTTCAAGGCTTGTTGCTTCGGCAGTAATGATCAGCCCTGCCTGAGTGACTTCACTTTTTCTATCCACCTGTGAGAAACCACAGGATGTTTAACTTCTGAATGTTGCTTTTCTGTGCACTTTCTCCCACGGCTGCTAAGGAACATCTGGAGGGGCTGCACAGGGCTCGCTGTGGAAATCCAGGCCTTGCCCGGCTGCCCACATGTATCTCGAACTGGCATTGCAAGCACCAGTCCTGGTGCTGCTGGTGGCGATGGGAAACCATGGGTCAGCTTTCCATAAACCTGGAAATAACCTTTACAACACCGCAAGCGGGTGGCCTCGGGCCTAGCCTGGCTGGCACGTCACCTCTACCTGCAGCAGTCACGGGTTGTGGTGGCAAATCAAGGCAGGAAATGCAGCGAGAGTGAAAAGCAAGAGTGGAGGGGACGCTGTGGTCACAGCCCTGAGAGGCAGGGCAGGCGGGGAGCTGCCTTGGCCTTGCTGTGTCCCCAGCTGCTGAGAAGGGATCCCTGTGGGGGCTCTCACGCTTCCCAGCGCTTCTGGAAAGCGGCAGCCCTGAGAAGTTGTTTGAAATGCCCCTGCTTGGGTGCTCTGAATCTCTCTGCAATCCAAGTGGGCCCAGAAATGTCCTTTTCCTTTGCTGATTTCTGCTTGTCCCCCCGTCCCCCCCCCAATCCCTTCATGTGAATGTTGTGGAAGGGAAAACAAAAATATAGAAGAGCTTCCCAAAGAGAAAGCAAACTGGCTGTGTACAGTACCCACTCTAAAAAGTGACGTGCAGCAAAATTTGAATATCCTTGTTTAATAGGAAAAGCCTTCCTAGGCTTTTTATCACACTATGGTTGAGATGCGTTTGATCCAGCCCTTCAGCATGTAAGTAGTCTTGGCTATTTCACCAAAGCTTTGTCACTGGAGGAGCTACAGGGATATTTTATAGGGGAGGTTTTTGTGACAGCCAGATGAGCACTGGGCTCTCTATACTTGTTTGAATTTAGAAATGTGAAAGTTATACCATAGTCTAAAAAAATCCATATGCTTTATCTTCAGAATATTAATGCTTGTCTGGGGGAAGCTCTA